TTAGATTGTACGCCCCTTGAGGGTTAGGGACTCGTGAATGTACAATACGTGTAAAAGTGCTTCGTAAAATGATGGCGCTAAATGAAAGCAACCCAGTCACTTTGAATAGATCCTTAACAAGCCTCACTACATTTGGGCTTTGCAGTGCACCACCACACATTCCTGTCTGTGCATTGTAGCGCAGTCTGTATACCAGGTCTGTGTGTTGGGCACAATTTTGCAATGAATTGCAATGTACAAATGCTATGTGTTTAAAGCACATAAGTGTATACCCAACCTTAAATGTAGTTTAACTAGTTGCCGACCACAGATAGCCGAATGACGGCTTCACTGTGGCCGGCCAGTTCTGGGTGGACGTCATATGACGTCCCCCCAGAACGCGCTCTCCTGCGCGCCCCAGGGGGCACGCACCCGGCGACTCCGTGATCGCTGTGTCCTACGGACACAGCTGATCACGAGATGTGGTAAAAGGCCGATCATACCGGCCTTTTACCACGTGATCAGCGGTGTCCAATGACACGCTGATCACAGGGAAATGCAAGTGCCGGTTCTCGGCTGCACTTTCCTCACGCTGTCAGATCGTGAGGAAAGTACTGCCGAGAACCGGCAGTTGTCAGAGCGAGGATCGGCACCGATCATCAGGGCCACTGATGATCAGTGCCCTGATGATCGGTGCCCAGCAGTGCCACCCACAAGTTCCACCCACCTGTGCCCAGCAGTGCGCCCACTAGCTCCGCCCACCTGTGCCCAGCAGTGCGCCCACCTGTGCCCAGCAGTGCACCCACCTGTGCCCAGACCAGTGCCACCCACCTGTGCCGCCCACCTGTGCCGCCAGTCAGTGCCACCAGTCAGTGCCCAGCAGTTGTGCCAGTCAGTGCCGCCAGTCAGTGCCCAGCAGTGATGCCAGTCAGTGCCATCTATCAGTACCCATCATCAGTGTCACCACCTATCAGTGCTGCATATTAGTGCCGCCTATCCGTGCCACCTCATCAGTGCCGCCTATCAGTGCCCATCAGTGCCGCCTATCAGTGCCCATCAGTGCTGCCTCATCAACGCACATCAGTGAAGGAGAAAAAATACCTGTTTGAAAAATTTTATAATAGAAACAAAGAAACTTTTTTTTTTTTTTTTTTTCAAGTTTTTTGCACTTTTTTAATTTATAGCGAAAAAAAGTAAAGCGCCCAGTGGCGATTAATTACCACCAAAAGAGAGCTCTATTTGTGAGAAAAAAATGATCAAAATTTCATATGGGTACAATGTTGCATGACCGCGCAATTGTCAATCAAAGTGCGGCAGCGCTGAAAGCTGAAAATTGGCCTGGTAAGGAAGGGGGTATAAGTGCCTGGTAGGCAAGTGGTTAATAACCAGCAATATGTACATGAATCTGTCTTGGTATTAGCCTCTTATAATCCCTGTGCACACCAGCTTGGAAAGGAAGAGTTGGTATTCTGGCCAGTCTGGGCTCTATTGCTTTACACATTGCCATCAGTCTAACCCAGGGCTCAACTAATCCCAGGCACTAGATCACCATGGTGACTAGAAATTGAACCCAGGAGCCACACACTGCCTCTCACAGACTTCAGTGCAAAGTTGCTTCCCACGGACTTCAATGCAAAGTCAATAACAATCCTATGTGAACACTTACCTCCACATGCCACTCTATCACTTGCGAGTCTGGAGCGCACTGCTACAAATTTGCACAGGACCCTTTTCGTAATGGCACTCAAACCACAATGCGTGTGGATCGCATCTGTGTGAACCATCTCAGTAGGAACACACAAAATCTAGCCTGCCATGCAATTCTGGATGCTTTTTCAAACTCACAGATTTGCATATGTGTGAACCAGAGCGACTCCATTCACACCTTGGTGTTTTGGGATCCTGACCAAATCACTGCATCGCAAAATGCAGATTGAGGTGCCATTAGTTTCAGTGGCGCCTAAAACATGGTGCAGTCTTGCTGCGATTGTCACGCGGCAAATCACATCGTATGAAGCTTGTTGTATAAAAGTTGCCTTGCCCCGGGCGCTGACTGCCTACACGGAAAAAAAAATTTAAAACTGGCTTCTAACTTTTTTTTTTTTTTAACCGTTTCAATACCGTGCAATTTTACACCTTCCTGCCCAGGCCATTTTTCAGGTTTCAGCGCTCTCACACTTTGAATGACAATTGCGCGGTCATACAACATTGTACCCAAACTAAAATTTGATCATTTTCTTCACACAACTAGAGCTTTCTTTTGGTGGTATTTAATCACCGCTGGGGTTTTTATTTTTTGCTAAATTAACAAAAAAAGACCAAAAATTTTGAAAAAAAAAACAAATTTTTCTTTGTTTCTGTTATAAAAGTTTACAAATAAATAATTGTTCTTCATAAATTTAGGCCGAGATGTATTCTGCTACATGTCTTTGGTGAAAATAACCCAAATTAGGATGTATTTTTTAGTTTGTAGGAAAGTTATAGAGTTCACAAACTCTGGTATAGATCTGAATATTGATCAATCCTGAAGTACTGACAGCCAATCTAATATCTTGAGGTCCAAGAATGTCAGAACCGTACAGATATCCCCCAAATGACCCCTTTTTGCAGAGTAGACAGTCCGACGTACTTCATAAGAGGCATGGCGAGTTTTTTTTGAAGTTGTATTTTTTTGTCATAATTTTTCGGAAAATGAAAAAATTAAAAAAATTATTTTCACTATTTTTTTTTTTTTTTTACATACTGTCACCAGTGCAGTACAGCGTCATCATATAACTGGCATGGCGGTGAACAGCGACACTGACTGGTGACAGTATGAAAAAAAAAATATATTTTTTTTTTTTAATTTTTTTTTTTATTACTTTTTTTATTACATTTTTTTTTTTTACATTTTTTTTTTATTTTTTTTTTTCATATTTTACTATGACCAAAATAGTACAATGTTACCATAGTAACACTGTACTACTTTGGGGAAGTGATCAGTATTTTTTTTTTTTACACACAATTTGCTTATAGCAAAGAATTACTTTGCTATAAGCAAGCATTTACCTGAATGACATCGATTCATTCTTTTTTTTTTTTTTTTTTTTTTTTTTTTTTTTTTTTTTTTTTTTGGTGCCTTAGCTGTGATTTGGTCACAGCTAATCACATGACATGTGCATGTGATTAGCTGTGACCATTCACAGCTAGGCACTAGTATACAATGGATGGCATCATGAATGAAGCCATCCATTGTATACAACTGTCATGTGACCTGCTGTGATTGGTCACAGCAGGTCACATGGTACCGGCAACGGGAGCCGGTACTCGGATCTGTCATCGGCCGTGTCCGAGGTGCACGGGCGGTGACAGATCGCACTGCTGCGTCGCTCTGCAACCGCGCAAACCGCGCATGTGCGGGAGCACGCCAAATGGCGTGCACCCGGAAAGCTGCAGCGCTTTTCAAGCCGCCAAACGGCCATTGGCCGGGCGGCTAATGGTTAAGCTGGCTCCTAAATTCAAAGCAAACTTTTCAAGCCCTGGTCTAACCTGTGTAGGATTTTCTCATCAGTGTTCTGCCTCACAAGCTAGGGAAGGAGAGGGGATATAGAATATTGGCAACCTTTTTAAAAACTGACCACACTGGGGTGGATGTTCTTCTATGTCTAGTGTGGTCAATGAAATAGGAAAGCAGGGAGACTGGCAGGATCACCAGGTATTTCACAGAAAGGAAACCATACAAAGAGAACAGGATACAAGATACAACATACACATCAGGAATATGAAATGTTTGAGTGGCATACACTTTAAAGTGATTGTAAATGTCTGTGTGCAGCAGCCCCCTCACTCCCCCTAATCCTTGAGCCCCATCATGATCAAGCAATGTCCACGAGAACCTCAGTTCTCCCAGGACTCTCCCTCCTTATTGGCTGAGCCAGCACAGCCAGTAAGCCAATGAGGAGAGACGAGGCAGGGCCGAGCCGTTCTGTGTGTGAATGGACACACAGAGTAGCTGCTCAAACGCGAGCCTTCTTGGGTGCCCCCATAGCAAGCTGCATGCTCTGGGGGACCAGGAATGCCGGCCAGTGATCTGAGAAGAGGATCAGGGCTGCTTTGTGCAAAACCATTACACAGAGCAGGTAAGTATGACATGTTTAATATTTAAAAAAAAAAATGCCTATCACTGTAGAGGCCATTTTACATAAAAATAAATGTTCATATGCTTGCAGGAAAAATGTGGTATAACATAGTTCATAAGATGGAGTTTGTTTATTTAACCACTTGCCAACCGTGCTATAGCCAAATGACAGCTACAGCACCGTTGTCTAGTCCTGGGAGGGCGTAATATGACATCCTCCCAGAACGTGCCCCAGGGGGTGCACACCCTGCGATCGCTGTGATCCTGTGGACACAGCTGATCATGTGATGTGGTAAAAGGCCAATCACAGCGGCCTTTTACCACATGATCAGCTGTGTCCATTGACACAGCAGACCATCGGTTAATGCAGTTGTCGGTTATCGGCTGCACTTTCCTCACGCTGTCACAGCGTGAGGAAAGTACTGCCAATAACCGGTAATTGTCAGAGGATGGATTGGCACCGATCATCAGGGCACTGATGATCAGTGCCGCCCAGCACTGCCCAGTGATGCTACCCACCTGTGCCTAGCAGTGCCCCTCAGCAGTGCTGCCTATCAGTGCCCATCATTTTTGAATATCAGTGCCTATCCGTGCTGCCTATCAGTGCAGCCTCATCAACGCACATCAGTGAAGGAGAAAAATTACCTGTTTGCAAAACTTTATAATAGAAACAAAGAAACTTTTTTTTTTTTTTTTTTTTTTTTTCTTTTTTCAAAATGTTTGCTCTTTTTTTTTTAATTTTTTTTTTTTTTTTATAACCTTCTACTTCTTTCTTTTTTTTTTTTTTTTTTTCTCTTTATGGAAGTTACTAAAACCTATGCTTGTAGCCAAAAGGAGTATTTGACTTCAGTAGCAATTTAGAACCATCAACTGATTGTGTTCCATCATTTTTTTATTTGGACAGGAAAATACACATCTTGGGATCATTTCAAAATATTAAGATGGCGAGAACAGCAATTTGTAACCTCATTCTGGGTAAGTGTTTTTGTTGCTGCACATTGTAGAGATGGGATAGATTTGGGTGGAACGATAAAACTTGACTGAAAGAGGCAACTGTTAACTTTTGCATCTTTAATAACCCAACAGGAAGTCCACCATCTAAAGTATATGGAAACATTCGGGCTGTGGCAAGCAGAGCAGCGGATCGTTTTTAATGTGGCAGTCTGGCGTCGTGTCTGAATTGCTGCTAACTTTTGAACATTTGCAGAGGGAAACTTGCTGCCCATTCAGTTCATCACTGAGGTTTTAGAAGTGTGTGGATGAAGATGTGACCATATTTAAATTTCACATGAGAGGACTGTGCGGAAATCCGTAACAAACTAAAAATATGCCATTTTTAATCCTGTGCAATTTTGGAATCCATTTAAATAAATGGTGCTGGACATGACAATTTAACTGATAATATGCAAACCTCATGTTCTAAACCCAGTACTTCCCAGTTTCGTCTTGGTGTGGGTGGAAACAAAGAATGCTTTCTGTGTTCCTGAGAAACAGAGACTGAAGTCTACATTGGTAACACTGCAGAAACACGTATGAAATATGTCAAATGTGTAGCTGAACTTCCTGCAGATATGATGCAATATAATGTACCTGTGTCCAGTAATACATAATTAAATGTGTTTTTTCTAAATGCAAGTGGAGTAAGTGACTATGTGGTGAAAGCTTTTTCCCGAGCAAAACCAGAGGTGGTGGGACATTTAAAAATTCCACAACAGTGACGGTAGCTCCTGGTGCCTCAGCCCAATTGTCCTTTACTCACAAAGTGAGTCATAAAGTATATGTAAATCCTCACCGTGCAAAACAACCCATCCAGTTTAAAATAGAAATGAAAGGCAAAACCTTTATGTGTACATATAAAAAAATTAGAAGTACCTTCTTTTTTTTTTTTTTTTTTTTTTCTTCTTGGTTGCACTTGGCTATAACTATCTCACTTTGGGGATCTCTTCTAGTGCTCTTCTAAATTGGGTACAATGTAGCAAGAAATTCAGCAGGGGGAGGTGAGTACCATAGGAATTGCCCTGATGGACCTATTTTGGAAAGTGTGTGTGTGTGTGTTTTTGTTTTTTTAAATCTTGAGCTCCAAGCAGATGTAAAATGTTAGTGCTAAAGGCTAATTTTTTTTTTTACCTTTTTAATGTGTTCTTTGCATTAAAAAACCTTTGTCCTTTAAACACTTGCATAGCTCCATGTCACTGCTTTGGTGCCAGCACTGCTGTCTTTTCCTCCTGCTTTCAGAGGAGAAACTGCGGACAGCAGACCCATAGTCTCCTGCTGCTGTCAGTCAAACTCCTGTGAGGAGGGAATGGGGGCGTGGCTTTCAAACTTTGTGTGTGTCTTTGGACACACACAGTGCGGCTCAGGACTCAACAGCATTGCATGTGTGCCTCCTTAACACCCATCTTGTTACAGGGGGCACCCAAGGGAAGGAGGAGTCAACAGCCCCAGCAACATTTATGTGAAATATTGTTGCATTAAACAGGTAGGCATAACCTCTTTACATTTTTTTTTTAATTTAGCTTTTAGTATCACATTAATGCAGCTCTGTATTCATTAATTGTAGCGTGAAAATAACTGATAACACTATCTAGTGTTAGTACAGTAATCTCCCCTGCTGTTCTATTGTGTTCTGACAGGGGGGACAGCCTCTCCACCAGAAACACTCTGGTCACTGCTCTCAGCCATTGGCTGAGGGTGCTGATCGGGAGCCGATTGGTAGACCTTTTTGGTTCATGGCCCTTTGACAGGCGCCAGGCTAATGGCTGGCTTCTGTCGGGACTGGCTGCTGTACACATGGGCCAAATGTTGGCTGGTTTCTGTTGTACCGGGCCAGTTCTGCCCGAAATTCGACCTGTGTGTCCTAGGCTTTAGAATGGAGGAGGGTGAAGCAGCACTAGTAGAAAATCTGGTCTACTGCACATGTGCTGACATGAGAAAGATCAATCTTCTGCTGCTCCTTCAGGGTCCTATTATGTGCTGTTGACAGGGAGGTTGTCAAGATTTATTGTACAACTGCCGTCTTTAAGTCCGATTACCCAGGCTGGCTGTAAAAGGAAATGCCCATGCCTTGGGAAGTAAATAGCTTCTATATAGGCATTTTCAAGTGGTGTATTTATCTGTTTGCCTGCAATTCAGCTTTAAGAAATCTGTCACAAAGCTAAATACCCTTTCTTCATTGAGTAACATAGCAATGTAGTAAATATTTGGACCTATTGCCTAGACTGGTGCTTCCAAGTCTGGACATGTGGTAAACCCAGTCCCTATATAACTCTTGCTACAACCTTTTGCTAGTGTCCTTGTAGGTTGGATGCCCTCTACTCAAACTATTTTTGCTATATTATTTTTTCATTTTTCTAGCAACTTTCCCTACACTTCGTGGATTTTTTTTTTTTTTTCCTCTTCAATTGAGACATTTATTTTGCTTCCTGAGCATTTCTCTAACCAGCAGAGATTGTCAGCTGCTTCAGGTCTAACCCCGTCTGTCTCTGTGTATGTAAGCCTCTACATGTGGCTGACCACCAAGATCTTCATTGTGGTGCTTTCCACACTGTGTACTATTTGTGGTAATCACAAAGGGCTGGGAAATGTTTTCTTCTGATGAATCAAAAAGTCTTGATGAAGTCTTGATGCTAGCCTACAGCAATGGAGAGGTGTTCTGAAGAACCTCATGGTTCATGAAACATGGTTGTCTGAAGTGGAAGTTTCTAATCAACATTTTGGAACTTCGGACAAATCAGCTGGCTCTCCTACACTGGTCAATCCACCTTCTAGGTGCAGTTGGACAATGCAACGGCTGTGGCATAAATCAACCCTCAAGGAGGGATCAGAACCTGCGCTGAACAAGAGAGGCAGGCCTGATTTATGTCTTGGACTGTCCACCCACCCTAATAGAAAAGTGTTAGGTGAACTTTCTCAGCCACCAGCATCCAAATCCAGGAGAATGGGCCTGTACCACATTCGAACAGGCATCTGATTGGTTAGTTTTGCATGCAAGATGTTGAATCTAGTTTTAAATACTAAGATGTAAAAAAAGGAAATGGGGTAATACGGCTTAATGACCAACAAGGATCACTAAAATAAGTGCAGTGTAGAAAGGTGGATAAAAGTGATTCTGAAGGAAGAAAACAATGGCCTGTATAGGAGATGTAGGAAAGAAATTTCCTAAATTTTTTTTTATTATTGTAAATCTCTTGACATACAAAATGTGGGCTCTTGTGGATCAGCCAGATTTGTTGTTGCAGAGTCCAATCTTCTATCCTGCTGTAAGGTTGATGTCCTTGACGGCACGGATGGTGAAGCCCAATTCGTAATTGGATAGGTCAAAGTGATGAGAGGGCTTTCCTTGTGGCTCTCGTCCAAACACACCTGAATGTGGAAACGAGTTCGAGGCTTAGGTGCCAGAGACCTGGACAGTACATAAGTCAGTGGAGATGGTCTACAGAGTTGGTGACTGATGCAGCCGAAGGACGTCCCACCACCACCCACAGAAGGAGCTGGGGTAAGTAGGAAGATGTGGTCAGGAAGCTGAGCTAAGGTCATACGCATACAGAGGAGATGTGGTCAGGAGCCAAAACAGGGTCACACACAGGTAAGCAGCTGGTAGCAGCGCAGGGTCTAGAGACAAGCCAGGATAATGCATAGGTAAGCAGCCGATAACAGAAGCGGGGTCTTGCATGTCAAGGAGATATCTGGGGACAAGCCAAGTCTGCAAAGGGTGAGCAAGAAACAGAAACAAGGATCAGGGGTAGCTGAAGATCATCCAGAGGATATCAGTCACTGTTTCCTTCCTTTTAAATAGAGTGCTATGTGCCAGTTCTGAGATTGGGTGTACAAGAACGTGCGCACATTGATGCACCGATGTGTGCCTATACAGATTACTGGCAGGAATTCCTTGTCTGTGTGCTGATGCATGCACATTTTCATTAGCATGTTGACAGGGTGTTTGACACTAATCCCTAACCCTCTAAATTTCAAGAAATCTGACCTCAGGAAGGTGTACCATCATGCTTGAAAAGTCTTTTCACCTGGTGCAAGGCTTATCCCTGACCATATGGCACATTTTGGCACTTCTCCAGCCTGAAGTGTAGATGTCTCGGACTTTAAGTACCTTCAAAGGAACAACTATCAACCTTGGTTGTTCACTTTGAGACCTGTTCTCTCTCACTCCTTCATAAAAGCCAATGTGCAGCGTGTCCCACAGACTGTACCTCTTGTGTGTTCCCCTATGTCTCTGTAGGACCTAAATTCCCTTGATGCTTCCTATGCACAAGGTTTTCCTTTTTTGGTTGCCATTACTTTGGTATGCGGGGTCCCAGAGCTGGCTACACTGCAAATAACCTTTCCTAGTTCTCCAGCAGGACCAGGTGGTATTGGGGTCTCTGTTATTTCTTTTTACACAAGATGGTTTCTTCGTTCCAACTGAATCAAAACATTGTGTTGCCATCTTTTTTTTCCTATTCCTAAACTTCCTAAGAAGAAGCTTCACTCTTTGGATGCTTTTCAAGCTGTTATGAGAAGAAGCTTCAAAGAGTGAAGCTTCTTCTCATAACAGCTTGAAAAAGCATCCACTCTTTGGATGCTGTTCAAGTTGTTAGAATTGATCTGAAGTCTACAGCTTTGTTTGGTCAGTTTGAGCCACTGTTCATTCTACCTGGGGGTCAGGCTGTATCCTGACTCGCTACATATGTGGATTTGCCAGATTATCTCTCTGGCCTATGGATTAAAGGGCAGTGTTTCTTTTTCCCAGTAAAGTCCCATTCCACCAAGGAGTGTCAGTGCTTCCTGAGCCCTTATTATGATGTTTTCCCCTGTTCTGTTTTTGGGCATGGTGGCGTTGTTGTGTTGCTCATCCCTCAAGTGCAGTGCATTTGGGATTTCCCAAGTAATGATGAATATGCAATCTTTTTTTGTCCCATTATGTATAATTAAGAAATTAGTATTTTTGGATTACCTGTAAATACATCACAAGACACAGAAATCCCTCCCCTCTTGTCTGTTCCTCAATGCTTGCTACATTGAGGCCTAGCTGAGCTGGGGGGGCTTATGGGTGAGTAGGATTCCTACCTTATTTGGCCAGTGTCTATTCACCTGAAGGTGGCAGCATAATCCAAGTAGTCATGAATATGAAGGTCTCTGTATCCTGTGATATACTCCAAGA